TCACTTGTCAAGCAGGGATGATCGAACTGACTTCATCGGGAGGTCTCCTGTGTGATGGGAGTTACATGCGTGCTGGCCCTCACCGTTCTGTGTGTGTGGTGCGTGCGTGCGTAACTCACGCATTTACTTCATAGGCTTTTTGGAGTAACTAGGTGCCAGGCTGTGTGCCAGTTGCTCGGGATGTGGGCATGAATAAGATGTAGTTCCTGTGTTTGAAAAGGGCCAGGTCTAAAACAGGAGACGCATACAAACGGTACCCCATCATGCTCCCTGCAGTTGGCATCTGGCGGCAGGCCTCTGGGACCGGCCGCCTGGGGGAGCGCCTCCCAGAGCCCCTTCCCCTCAGTAACTTGTCCCCTCCTCTCTCTATAGCATCATCCCCAGAGGAGCCACACTCTGACAGGTGAGTGCAGGCCGCCTCTTGAAGACAGATGCCCACATGTTGTCTTGCTTTGCAAAGTGCCAGTGTCACCGTGGTGCCGGGCAGCACTGCAGCTTCTGTAGGCACAGACCCCAGCAGAGTGCGTAGCGAATGGACTGATAATTAGCTTGTTTCTAGGTTCCTGTGCAGGTGTCTGTGTGCCTTCTCCTTTGGGGGCACAGGGTTGGGAGCTCTGGGCTTTGCTTCCCTGGACCAGGACAGCCTCCCTTTGGGAGGTAGGGTTATCCATTTCCTTAGACTGACGATCTCGTTGACATTCTCAGAGGGATATAAGTGCTTAGGAAACTGGTGTCTGAGGCCTCCAGGGGTCATGTCATGTCTCCCCAGTGAGGGTGCGGGGTCAGGCGCCCGGCCGCACCTGCTGAGTGTGCCCGAGTTGTGCAGATACCTGGCTGAGAGCTGGCTCACCTTCCAGATTCACCTGCAGGAGCTGCTGCAGTACAAGAGGCAGAATCCAGCTCAGGTAACCTCCCCCATGTCACAGAACAGTTCCCTGCAGGTGGGGAAGAAGAGGTTGGGGTGGGGGTGGGGAGGAGTGCTTGGACACTTTAGGAAGAGACCTAGTGTCTACTTGAGGAACATTCACAGCTGGTAGCCTAGTACAGGAGGCAGTCTTGTCTCGAGGAATAAGCTGATGTTCTGACACTTTCCTGCAAGGCAGACCAGTTTGAATTACAGGTGTTTGGTGGCAGCTAATGCAGACTTCCTGACCAGGTGGTGGTCTTGGGCATCCTCTTGACTAGACTGAATCACCATATTCCTAGAGGACATACCACCATATTCCTAGAGGACATACCCCTCCTCTCACCAGCTGAGCAGTGATTTCTTGCCCAAATGAGTGGGGCACATACCTCAGCCCAAGTCCTTTGACCCTGTGCTCTTCTCCACAGTTCTGTGCTCGAGTCTGCTCTGGCTGTGCTGTGTTGGCTGTGCTGGGACACTATGTTCCAGGGATTATGATTTCCTACATTGTCTGTGAGTAGAGTCTAACCATGCCCTTCCCAAAGCCCTCTCATCATCTTTCCCTGGACCGACATACAGGGAGGACTGTGCTCTCTCTCTGCTCAGTTGCCCATTTATAGAGATTCCCAAGGGCTGCTATAGTATTAGTAACAGTGGAGGAGTCATCGGGGAGGAGGGCAGGGGATACAGCCTCAGGAAAGGACCTTGTCTTCCTTCAGCCCTTTCTGTTCATGGACCAGTTGAATAAGGGCCCTTAGGAAATAAGCATAGGGAGCTCTGAGTGGGTGCTCTATCCTCTAGTGCTGAGTATCCTGCTGTGGCCCCTGGTGGTTTATCATGAGCTGATCCAGAGGATGTACACTCGCCTCGAGCCCCTGCTCATGCAGCTGGACTATAGCATGAAGGCAGAAGCTGACACCCTGCATCACAAACACGACAAGAGGAGTAAGGGGCTCCTGTAACCCGGTGGGGGGCGGGGGGCGCAGGGAGGGCCTTGGCTTATGGCTCATAAAACACCGTAGAATTTAGATATTCTCCAGTCCCTTGGCCAGGTTTGCCCCCCACTACTGTCCCTGCTTGGTGAGTATCGTGGTGCTCTTGCTTCTCTAGAGCGGCAAGGGAAGAACGCACTCCCCGGAAGTGATGAGCCACTGGCAGACACAGAGAGTGAAAGCGAGGCAGAACTGGCTGGCTTCTCCCCGGTGGTGAGATCCAAAGGAGATGGGTTATCAAGTAGAAGGTTGAGGGGAATCTCTGGTCTAGAGCAGATACCTCTCAAGGGGTGGGAGTTGGTGAGGGGGTGCTCCTAGAAAACTGGTTCTCTTATCCCCTTGTCTGTTGTGTTCATCCTGGTTCTCCTGCAGGTGGATGTGAAGAAAACAGCACTGGCTTTGGCCATTACAGACTCAGAGCTGTCAGATGAGGAGGCATCTATCTTGGAGAGTGGCGGCTTCTCAGTATCCCGGGCCACAACTCCACAACTAACTGATGTCTCTGAAGGTATGGGCAATCCTTTGCCCTTCCCGATCTTCCTGTTCCCTTTTGTGAGATACTGATCGTGCTCTCTAATTGTTGCCCCATAACTGTTTTCTTTGGAAATTTGACCCTCTAATTCTACCTCAAGATCCTGCTTAACACCTTAGGCCTAGCTCAGCATTGCATGTCCCGAGCTCTCATTCTTTTTTTGTTTTGTTTTTAAATATTTTTTTAATTGATTTCAGAGAGGAAGGGAGAGGGAGAGAGAGGTAGAAACCTCAATGATGAGAGAATCATTGATCGGGTGCCTCCTGCACACCCCCTACTGGGGATTGAGCCTGCAACTGGGCATATGCCCTTGGCTGGAATCAAACCCCGGACCCCTTTAGTCCGCAAGTGGACGCTCTATCCACTGAGCCAAACTGGCTGGGGCCCAAGTTCTCAGTCTTGAACATATTGGCCTGTTATGGTCATTCAGAATAGCAGGCCCATTCCTAACCCTTTATTTTCTGCACAGATTTGGACCAGCAGAGCCTGCCAAGTGAGCCAGAGGAAGCCCTGAGCCGGGAGCTGGGCGAGGGAGAGGAGACAGAGATGGCCCCTCCCGAAAACCTGCTGGGCCCCCCTGAGGTCCTCTCAAGGCAAGACCTGGACTCGGAGGAGGAGGAGGAGGAGCAGGAGGAGGAAGAGGAGGAGGAGGAGGAAGTTGTGGCAGCCAAGGAAACCTTGCTTCGGCTCTCATCCCCCCTTCACTTTGTGAACACGCACTTCAATGGGGCAGGCTCTCCCACGGATGAAGTAAAGCTCTCCCCTGGAGGACCAGTAGAGACACTGATCCCAGAGGCAGTGAGTGGTGACCCTGCCACGCCCTCGAGCACCCTGTCACCTCTACTTTGCCTTGCTGAAAGTGACCCAGTCCCTTCCCTCCCAGTGCTCCCACCTCTTCCCCAGGACTCTCCCCAGCCCCTGCCTGCCCCTGAGGAAGAAGAGGCACTTGCCTCTGAGGACTTCGAGTTGCTGGATCAGGGGGAGCTGGAGCAGCTGAATGCAGAGCTGGGGTTGGGGCCAGAGACATCCCCAGAGCCCCATGATGCTCCACCCCTAGGGCCCAACACCCTTTCTCTGCTACAGTCAGACCAAGAAGCTGAGACCATGGCAGAGCCATGAGCCATGGAAGAAATTGCAGGCACAGTAATAAGGCTTTCTGGCTGGGGCTGTCACTGTTTTCTCCTTTCTCTACTATTAGGAGTGACAGTACGTGGGGAAGCTGGCTGTCAGGTGATAGTTCACTTTCTGCCTACCTGCCTGCCTGTTGTCCCAGGCCTGCTTACAGTGCCTGGGATTGGTTTTTAGTTTGTAAATAATTTTACATTTGGGTTAGTGGATGTGAACAGGGCTAGGGAAGTTCTTCCCACAGCCTGCACTTGCCTCCCTGCCTCATCTCTATTCTCATTCCACTCTGCCCTAAACCCTAGTGGTCTCTCTCTTTATTTTTCCTCCTATCCTCAGGGACCTGTGCCGGTCTGTCCTCGTGTCCCGCTCGTTTAGACACTTTATCATTTTTCTTTCCTGTCCTGTGCTCTTCTCTGCTTTATTTCCCTGCTGTGTCTTGTCTTTAGCAGCTGAATCCCCACTCTGCCAGCTCCACCTCCCTGGCTAAACTTTAAGGAGGCTCCTGTTTGGGAGGTACAGACTAAACCTGGGGTGGTGGGTCAGGCCAGTAGTTGAGCACTTAGGTTACTGTAGCCTGTGGAACCTCCACTGCACCCTTGGCCTAGTTCGTCCCAGCCTTTTAAGATACAGGAGCAGAGCAGGGATCCCACAGCACGTGTACAGCACTGTGTTAGTGAGCAGGAGCTCTGTCTTGTTGCGAAGAGGGGCTTCTTACTGTCCCAGGGAAGAAAAGGAGACCTGCTCCGCTGGGCCAAGAGTAGTTCAAGTGTGGTAGGACCCCCTACTAGAGTGAGGAAGTGGACAGTAACATCTGTGCAGGTGTTGATTGGAAAAATAAAATGTTGATTGGCAAGAAATGCTGTTGCCTACCTGCTTGCCTCACTGTGAACTGCTTGCTACACTCTGCTCTGTGCCATCCTCACCCCTTACCTCCTTGTCCCCAATCTTATTCCTGGATGTTTATTTACCTGGTGCAAAACAAGGCAAGAAACAGGGATTACCCTAACAGCCCTAGCAATTTTCCCTGATGGGGTTACGTGTTTAGAGAGATTTAGCATATATGAATAAAGTATGCAGGAAGAAATTGCCTCGTCTTCCCAATCAGTACAAATTTGGTTCCATAACAGTAGTTTTCTACTATGTTTCCTACAACCTTAACACTCTTACCCATCTACATGCAATAACTCAGCTCTGGTTTATATATACAGGGGAGACCAAACAAGCAGGACCTATACCTGTATCAAAACTGATTTCAGACCAAGGAATACTAAAGAAATAGTATCTATTGCCTGGCTTGTGTGGCCCAGTTGGTTGAGTGGCGCATTATCCCATGCACCAGGAGGTTGCCAGTTCGATTCCAGGTCAGGATACCTGGTTGTGGTCTCAATTCCCAGTAGGCAGCCAATTGATGTTTCTATCTCTCCCTCTCTAAATTAATAAAAACGTTTTTTTTTTTTTTTTATATAAAAACGTTTTTTAAAGAGTAGTAACTACCACTAATTGAATACATAAAATATGCTTAGCACTTTTCTAAAACGAGTTGATACTTATTTTTTCCCCTCACAATCCTGAGATACACTGTTATTCACTGCATTTTATAGACAGTCTAACGTTCCAGGAGGCCACAGTCCTACTAAAGGGTGGAGCCAGGATCCACATCCAAGCAGTGGCTCCAGCAATCACAGTGGAACAGGAAGCCCCTGTCCATTAATAGTGCACAAGTGGAGAGACACTCAAGGACATGGACACTCGAGAACCAATCTAATATCTTGACTTCACAAAGAATGGACACGGAACCTTTGCTCTTTAGGGAAGAACAATGTTGGAGAAAGCCCAGAACTAAGCAGATGGCCTTTATGAGTTCACCTCCTCAGCCTCCAGCTGGAGGATCCATGTGGCAATGCTACCTGACTTTTTGAGGTTGGCTTCTATGCCACATCTCCTGTAAGCTTTGAGAAATTTTTTCTTTCCATTTGTTTCACATTTGCCTGAGAAAATCCTCAGGGATAACTGAGTCTCTGTCCACTTCCACTGAAGGAACAGAAACTTTTCATCATCTAGAGATCTCAGAAGAAAATGGAAAAACAGTTCTAATCATAAATAGGCAATTAAAAATGAGAATTAACCAATCAGAAAGATACCCACCTTTAATCGATTTTCTTGTTAAACTTGAAATTTGAAGACAGAAGCCTGTAGTTGGATCAAAACATTGACCATAGGTTTGGAATTCCATGAGGGTCCTTTTTTTTTTTTTTTTTTTCTTTTAATCCTCACCTGAGAATATATTTCCAATGATCTTTAAGAGAGTGGAAGGGATGGGGAGAGACAGAGAAACACATCCTTTGGTTGCCTCTCGCACACGCCCTAGCTGAGACCGAGGATCGAGCCTGCAACGGAGGAACCAGGTACGTGCCCTTGACCAGAATCGAACCTGAGGAAAGAAAAGGAAAAAAACAGAACCTGAGACCCGTCAGTCTGCAGGCCGATGCTTTATCCACTGAGCAAACCAGCTAGGGCATGAGGAATCATTCTTGACATTCACCCTCATCTGATGGTTGCTATGTCAATTTTGTATCAGGTGTCCAGGCCATTTCCTGCCCCAAGATGAAAGGAACAAGAAGAAAGCTTTCATATGAGTGAAAGAAAAATGAGCAAAAATGTGAAACCTACAATTAGGCTAAATAAAAACCAGTTGTAGAAGTACAGACTGGAGGAAGGAGAATTGGTTATATGTTTATATTGTGACCAGGGCAGTGCACTTAACTATACATTCCAATAGCCAACAATGTAATATGGCTGCTCATAAACAATTTAATTTTAGGCTACGTTACTGGAAATAATAGTCTCCAAAGCGAGGAAGATACCTATGGTTTACTGTGCACAGGTTAGAATACTGCCAGAGGAGTCTTGCTACATTTGTGGACAAGTTGACAAATTGCAGTGTTCCCAAGAGAGGAGATTCCAGAGGTAAAGGCTGAAAATCGTCATATGGGAACTACGTTGAAGGAATTGAGAATGTTTAAGCCAGGAGAGAGACCTGAGTTGAGTCACATTAGCTGCCTTCAGACTTTGAAGGGTTATCTGTAGGACTTCAGAGGGCAGAAATTAAATCTTTCAGACGAGATTAATAATAGTGCTAGGCAGAATTGTTTTTCTGGTCAAGAGATATTGCAAAACAGTAGATTTCAATGATCCTTAAAAGTACAAAAGATCAAGAACAGAGATTCTAAGAACTGTTCATCCCATTATGGAAGGACAATATATCACCATGTTTTGCTTTTAGTGTCCAACTAAAGCATCGGTCGCCCCCCGGTGGTCTGCCGACCACTGGTGATCTGTGAGGTCAGAAAGGTTGGCGACCACTGAATTAAAGTCTCCTTGGACTTGCTCCACCTGCTCCCTTAAATGCTTTTTTTTTTTTTTAATTGGTTCTGTCACTGGCTCACTTTTCTTTGTATTCTGCCTGGGCACTTTCAGTGTTCACCCACTTAGCTTCTACTCATATGTTAATGACTTGTAAATCTTAGCTCCTTTCCCAGAACTTCCAATGAGATATCTCCATTTGAATGTTCCATGGGTACCTTCTCCTCAACATTCCAAAACGATACATCCTTTTTCCACTGTGCACTTCACCACCGGAACCTGGATGGGAGAAAAACTTACTATGAAGGGCACTATTAGGACAACTGGTAAAACTTGAATATCAATTGTATATTAGAAAAAAGATTGTCTCAAGATCAAATTTTGTGATTTTTATCATTTCACTTTGATTATATATGAGGATATCCTTATTTGTAGGATACACATTCTGAATATTTTAGAGGTAAAGGGATTTGTTCTCTGTAAATTGTACCAAACTGTTTGGAAATAAAATAAACAAGTAAGAATTAGTATATTAATATATGATGTATGTGGAGAGAGAGAGAAAATAATATAGCAAATGTGGCAAAATGTTGTGGAGAAATACATATGGTAAATATAACAGAAGTTTTCTGTGCAATGGATAAATACATTGTAGTATATTCAGATAACTAAACAGAATGAATAAACTATAAGTACAAAAATATGGGTGAATCTCATACATAAAATGAGTAAAAGAAAATAGATACAAAGAATATATATGATTACATTTATATAAAGTACATTAATATTGTTAGAAGTCAAGATAGTAGCTACTCTTGGGGGAAGGGAAGCCGTGAATGGAGGGGGTCTTCTGGGGATTGGTAGTATTTTATTTCTTTTTAAAAATATTTTTATTGACTTTTTTAGAGAAGGAGGAAGGGAGAGGGAGAGAAAGAGAAAAGTATGAATGTGAGAGTGAAACATGGATCAGCTGCCTCTTGTACACCCCCTATGGGGGATCGAGCCCACAACCTGAGCATGTGCCCTGAACAGAAATCAGACTGGCCTTTTGGTGCTTGGACGGTGCCCAACCAACTGAGCCACATCGGCCAGTGTAGTAATGTTCTATTTCTTTTATTTTTTTTAATATGTTTTATTGATTTTTTACAGAGAGGAAGGGAGAGAGATAGTTAGAAACATCGATGAGAGAGAAACATCGACCAGCTGCCTCCTGCACACCTCCCACTGGGGATGTGCCCGCAACCTAGGTACATGCCCTTGACCGGAATCGAACCTGGGACCCTTCAGTCCGCAGGCCGACGCTCTATCCACTGAGCCAAACCGGTTTCGGCTATTTCTTGATCTGAGTGCTGGTTATGTGGGAGTGTTCAATTCATGAAAATTCATTGACCTGTACACATTTCTGAATGTGTCATACAACTTGGAAAAAAGTGCAGTACCAAAGTGTATTGATTACCTATTTCTGCATAACAAATTACTCCAAAACTTAGCATCCTAAAACAACAGACATGTTCTCACACTATTTCTAAGGCTCAGGAACCTGAGGGCAGCTTAGCTAGGTGGTTCTTGTTCAAGGTCTCCCACAAGGCTGCAATAAAGATGTTAGCCAGGGCTGGCTTCAGTCATCTGAAGGCTTGACTAGGGCTGGAGGATCTGCTTCCAAAATGGCACACTCAGTTCCTCACCACACTAACTTTTATGGCTGCTTGACTAAAATCAGGACATGACAGCTACCCTAATTGTTCTTCACAGACATGATTAGCAGGAAATGGTGGAAGTTTGAAGGACTAAGGTTCATAGAAATTTGGCACACCTGATTTTAAGGTGTATGGACTTTAAACCACACTCTCAGACAGTGACTGTTTGCTGACATGTCTGGGTTCCAAAACCCAGCAGACTGAGGATTAGACGGTCAGAAAAATAATTCTTGGCTGTGACATGTGCTGCTTAGGTTAGATTAAACCATACAAAATTATTGTGTGTGTTTTTTAGTTAAAAAAGGCACACATTAGCAATTTCATAATTTTAAATCTAACAGGATTAATGCTGGATCTAACAGATACGGAGTCTTGGGTGCGGTTCCATAGTGTAGCGGTTAGCACAGATACGGAGTCTTGGAATTCACAAATGACTAGATCTTTGACAATTGTCTTTCAAAAGCTGAATCCTCACAGCAGATGGCCTTTAGGTGCACACCTGGATCAAGAATTTCCTACATGTCATAAGCCTGACTTCAGGTTGTGACCAGAGATTCTGACAAACTTTGAGAAATACAGTGTCCTGAATCTAATGGTATAACTTATAACTATCTTAAGAGACAAAGTGAAACCAATGAAGTAATGGCAGTTAGCCACAGTTTTGTTGGGGATTGCGGACTTTGGGAGGATGCAAAAGAGTCAGGTAATGATGTAACTTAAATCCATGTGTATGAACTACAAGATCAATCTATTTTTATGGAGCTCACTGTGGCCCATCAGTCAAAGTATTGCACATAATAATCTCTTCCTGTCCTTCTGTCAGTGTGACAGTATGGCAGATGGACATCCCATCACTTATATGTTACAGGCCCAATGGTATTATGAACATTGATCTCTTGGCCTTGATTTCAAACTGAATCCGATTGGCTAAATGTAGCAGGTGTTCTTGGTGCTCTGTTCTACCTCTACTTGGCCTATTTCTGACTTCAGCTGCTGCTGTGGACAGTTCCTTTGAGCTCTGATGGCTTCCCACCTCAAAGCACAGCCTCAGCACTTCTGTCCTGGGCTTTCCTCAAAGTCTCTGCAGCTTAGTCAGGTGTAGAATGGCTGAGCGAGGTGGGCCGGGGGAGTTATCACCCCCAGCAGTAACTCCCAATTTTTATAGAAGACAGAAGTCAGCCCAGCCTCCTGACCTTTAGAGGGACAATTTTGAGGTACATCATTCCATATGTAGACACATGGCCACTCACAGCCTACCTCAGGGCATAAGGACAGATTAAGGGAAGCAGCTGCCAGAATTTCCCTGAAGGATTGGTCAAAGATGTCCCATATATTAATTGGTTGAAATTTTTGCATAGAAGTAGGTCAAAGTATTTCTTGCAGATAAAGTTGGAATTTTTCTTTTAAAAACATTGTTCTGAATATAGACGTTCCTTAATTTTTGATGGGGTTATAAAGCCACCGTAAATTGAAAATACCATTAAGTCAAAAATGCCTTTTAAGCCCGGCTGGTGTGGCTCAGTGGTTGAGTATCGATCCATGAACCAGGAGGTCACAGTTTGATTCCTGGTTGGGACACATGGCCAGGTTGCAGACTTGATCCCCAGTGGAGGGGCATGCAGGAGGTAGCCAATTGATGATTCTCTCATCATTGATGCTTCTTTCTCTCTGTCTCCCTGAAATCAATAAAGACATACAAAAAATGCCTTTAACCTACCGATCATCATAGCTTAGTCTAACCAGTTTTTGTTGATCATCTATGGCTTTTGCATTACTGTAAAGTTGAAAAATCATAAATTCATCATAAATCAGGGACTATGTTGTACTTTGTGATTACTGTGGAAATAGAATTTATTTTTTCCATTTATTCTTACAGTGACACACTTGAAAGCTACTTATTTTTAAAAATCTATCTTATATCTAACCTCTCTACTGAGTTTTCATTATACCTAAGTATTGTCCCCATTCTGGTCCAGACCATCATAATGTCTTGCCTGGGTTACAGCAACAGCTTCCTACCTGGTCTCCTTTCTTCCAATCTCATATTTCCTCCAATCTCTTCTCTACTCTGAAGCCAAAGTGACTTTTCCAAAATTCAAGTCTGATCATGTCGCTACCTGCTTAAAACTATTTATAGTTTCTCATTGTATTTTTGTTAAAATTCTCAATACTAACTGGCCTCCAATACCTGAGGTGATTTGGCCTCTGCTAGCTCTCCAGTTTCATTTCCCTTCTAGCCTGCCTCATATACCATAAGATTCAGATACCCCAAGCTTTTTTTAAAGCTCATTTAAAGGACCTGGTTCTCTCTTATCTTCATTTGTCCCTGCTGTTGCCTCCGCCTGGAATGCCATCTCCTTCTACCACATTCCTTGGATTCACCTAGCCAAAATCTACTCACCCCTTAGGTTTTGGCTTGAATAACACTTGTCAGACCCTGGAAAGTACTGACATATTACCCTGTATGTCTTTTTCTTTGAATGTATCATCCAGTGACAGGAACGTGGAAGGATTCGGAAGAAGCAAACACATCGTGAAATAGAGCCAAAAGTTAGAGGGGGGAGAGAGGGGAAGAATAAGAAGGGAGTGTCTTCTCATTTCCAGTTGTGGCCTGGGTTAACCCTCCATTTTGGAGTACATTGCTCAACTCTAAACTTATGTGCTCTCATGGTCAAATTTATGGGAAGATAAATTTAAGGGTGCGACCATTCCCAGTCATGAGGGGCCAGAGAGGCACGTGAGAAGCAAAATGTGCTGAAGCTGGAAGCTGCCGGAGGAAAAGCAGAACACCAGTCCGGTGACTCTCATGCCTCATTCCAGAAATATTTAATATGCACTCGGAATATTCAAGTCTCACGTTTTTCAAAGTGTGTTGTACATGGATCATCTGTGTGCTTGGGTGCTTCCTCCCGAATCAGAAGCTCCGGGACACAGGAATCTACATTTAAAACCAGCTCTGTGGGTAATTCGCATTCACACAGAAGTCACACAGCTCAAGGCACCGCGCTGGGTGCCAGGAACCTAACAGAACCAGGGAGGCGTGGTTCCTGACTTCCCAGTATATTTGTGTGTGTAAACAGCCGATTACAATAAGATGACACGGATGCTGGAACAGACCCGGGGAGGTCACATAGCCGGTGTGCTTAGCTCAGACTGGGGATGGTTCGGGGAGCCTTACAGAAAGGGCGTCAGAGCAAAGCCTGAAGGAAGGATCTGCAGCTCTGGAGAGAAATCCGTACTTTGGGGAAGTATGGGAGTCAGCTGGGGGAGAGTAAGTGCAGCCGTGGCCGTGAATGAAATGGCCAGGTGTAGAGTGAGAAGTGGGCGAAGGACCGTCTTGTGAAAGATCCCAATCCACCCCAATCCTCCTTCCCCAACAAATCACCTGTGCTCGGCTTCGCGGGTCCTTTCGCCCTACGCGGAGCTGAGTCCCGGCGCAGGACCAACCCAGTCCCTAGCCCGGCACCGGCACATTACAGGGTGGGCGACAGGTGCGTGGATATCCTACAGCCGAGGAACAGAGCTCAGTCTGCGACCCCCTCCCACTCACGGGCGGGGCTCGGCCCGCTCGGCCGCCCTGCGACTGCGCGAGATGTGCCGCTCTGCGCGATGACGTCAGTGCGCCCGTGCGCGCTGGGGGAGGAGTGGGACCTTTGGACCGGGAGGCGCAGAGGCTCCGGTAACACGGCTGGGCGGGGGAGAGGATGGGGAGGGGCAGGGAGCCCCCCCAGAGTCCGGACCCGGAGCGGGAGCCCTAGAAATGCTCAGCATCGCTTCTTCTTCTCCCAGCAGGCCTCGCCCGGCCCAGCGATGGAGTTTCCGGATCTCGGGGCGCACTGTTCCGAGCCGAGCTGTCAGCGCTTGGGTGAGGGCGGAGCGCGAGGGGGTGGGACCGGGTGGAGAGGGGCTTGGAGGTGCAGACGAGACGAAGGGTGGGCTCCCGGGGCTGGGAATGCCGGGAGGGGCGGGCTCGAAGTTGGGACGGTGTCAAAGGGGGCGTGGCTAAGGAGCGTGGACTAGAGCCGGGTGGTTTGTTGCAAACAAGGTGGTGTTTTCCTTCCTCGGAGTGGAAGGCTTGAGCGACCCGGAACGATGTCAGGGTCCCGCTGGACCTGCAGTCTGACATATTCCCTGCAGATTTTCTGCCGCTCAAGTGCGACGCCTGCTCGGGCATCTTCTGTGCAGACCATGTGGCCTATGCTCAGCATCACTGTGGATCTGCTTACCAAAAGGTGAGGGTGATGGAGGATGCATGCAGTCTGAGGGTGATGGAGGATGCATGCGGAATCCCTCCAATTCCTCTGCCTCCTGCTTCCTCTCCTTTATTGTCTGAGTTTCTTTCAGGACCAGAGATTTGGTTGAAGCGGGAGTGGGTCACAGACTGAGCTCTGTTCCTTAACTATAGGATATCCAAGTACCTGTCTGCCCACTCTGTAATGTGCCTGTGCCTGTGGCCAGAGGGGAGCCGCCTGACCGCGCTGTTGGGGAGCACATTGACCGAGACTGTCGCTCGGATCCAGCACAGCAGAAACGTAAGGTAAGCACTGGAGGGGTTGGCCATGACCCAGCCGGGCTATGGATGCCTGGACACCTGAACAACTATTCTTACTGGGTTGGAAAAGGGGGTCAGTTTCAGCAGAGACAAACCTTCCCAACTCCACCTCAGATCTTCACCAATAAGTGTGAACGCTCTGGCTGCCGGCAGCGGGAAATGATGAAACTGACCTGTGAACGCTGTGGCCGAAACTTCTGCATCAAGCATCGTCACCCACTGGACCATGATTGCTCTGGGAAGGGGCACCCAACCAGCCTGGCAGGGTAATTGCAGCCAAGTCTTCTACTTAACCTATGGGACCGTTCCATCCTTCTGAACTGACTTAGTCTTTATAACTACAAGCTGGGAAGTTTGAACCCTGTCCTCTTTGACTAGGGAGTCTTAACTTTCTTTTCTTTTTTTTAAAATATATTTTATTGAATTTTTACAGAGAGGAAAGGAGAGAGATAGAGAGTCAGAAACATCGATGAGAGAGAAACATCGATCAGCCGCCTCCTGCACATCCCCCACTGGGGATGTGCCCGCAACCCAGGTACATGCCCTTGACCGGAATCGAACCTGGGACCCTTCAGTCCGCAGGCCGACGCTCTATCCACTGAGCCAAACCGGTTTCGGCTCTTAACTTTCAAGTGCATATTTTTCCAGACTGTTTGGAGGAACTCCCTCCTGAGTTCCCTGGTAAGGCCTGGGAGGAGCATGCGAGCTGACTACCCTAGGACACATGCCAAGAATGTCTCTTCCCTACAGACTTGCTGCCATCTCCAGAACACAAGGTCTGGCTTCTTCTACAAGCACCGTCCCCAGCCCAAGTCAGACCTTGCCTTCATCTACCTCTCCCAGCAGGTAGGCCTCCCCATTTCTTCTCTCCCTTTTCCTCCTTTATCTCTGACCTCTACCTCTTTTATTTTTCTTTCTTTCTTTTTTTGACCTCTGCCTCCTGAATGTCTGCCTTAGAGCCACAGCCCAGTCTCCATCATGGACTGCCCCTCCAGTGATTGCTTTGCAGAATGGCTTGGTGAGTTGAGCAGAGGTTGAACGGACAGAAGCAAACCCACACAGAGTAAAGTCCAAGGCAACTGGTCCTGTTTCTCTTTTTTTGCAGAGTGAGGATGAGGCTCTGCAGCGAGCCCTGGAATTGTCCCTGGCAGAGACCAAACCCCAGGTCCCAAGGTACCTACTCTCTGGTGAAAGAGGATGGGATGTGGGAAAGAGATAGGTGGGAACACTCTGATCTGTTGCAAGATAATAGTTAGGCCTGGCCAGCATGGCTTAGTGGTTGAGCATCGACCTATGAACCAGGAGGTCACTGTGTGATTCCCAGTCAGGGACCATGTCCAGGTTCTGGGCTTGATCCCCAGTTGGGGAGTGTGCAGGAGGCAACTAATCAATGATTCTCTCTCATAATTGATTTTTCTATCTCTTTCTCCCTCTCTGAAAGCAATAAAAATATATTAAAAGAATAAAAAGGTAATAGTTAGGTACTTGAGCCCAAAATTAAGCTTACTAACTATATTACGTTTGACAAGTTTTTTTAACCCATTAGGGTCTTAATTTCCTCTATAAAATGGGATCATACTAATACCTACATTGTAGGGTTGTATAGAAATTGAGATAATACTCAAAAGTGTTCAACATAATGGTGCCTAACAGATCAGATGCTTATATTTTAGATATTATTGTCATCCAACTTAAGCTGCTCCTCTCTCCCAGTTCTCAGGAGGAAGAAGACTTAGCTTTAGCACAAGCACTGTCAGCCAGTGAGGCAGAGTACCAGCGGCAGCAGGTATGAGGATGGGGTAGAGATGGGTCCTGCACTGGGAATAGGAGTTTTGGGGGTTCTTCCAAGTGGTTGAAAGTTTTGGAATGGTGGTTATCTTTTTGTTTTCAGTATGACTCCGGCCCATGCTGAGCTTGGAAGTGAGGACTGCCCCCTCATTTCCATGACATCACACCCTGTCTTCCCCTCCCCCTCTCCTTGCTCCAGGCCCAAAGCCGCAGCCTGAAGCCGTCCAACTGCAGCCTGTGCTAGGGCCTTGGGCTTGGGGAGGGAGGCTTAGCTGAGGAGGACTGTGGCCCTCACATCTCTAAGGTCCACAGGGAGAGGAGGCCAAGAGCAGCCTGGAGTGAAGACGAGGAATGACGCAAAGGCTGTTTCCAGGGAGTATCAAGAGAAACAACTGTGGAACTCAGTCTATAGAAGGCCCTGCTGGCCCTCCAGCTACGTGGGAGATAGCAGCTGTGAACTGTTCCCTGGTTGGGCCCTCGGGGATGCTGGCCAGGCCCCACTCAACTCCCTGCATCATGTCATCCCCCTTACACTGGGGCTGCCTGCACGTGTGGGGACAGGGAGGGTCCTGGGAGGAATAAAGGATATTGGTAGTTAATAGCACATCCAAGTGGTGTGTTTCTTTCTCTTTTCCAACCAAAACAAGTAGAGTCCTGTCAAGAATGCTCACCCAATCTAAGAGTAGAGGCCTACTGCAATGTGCTACAACATGAAGTCACAGTGGTCCTAGCACAGTCCACACTTTTATTTCCCCAAAAATTGCTTTACTGAAAGGTCCCTTTCCCCCACTTTGGCTAGCACAGCACCCCAAGACCAGGATAAAATATGCCATGGAAGAAGGGTACATCTTATTCCCTTTCAGTGACCCTTTGGGAAGGAAGTAGCCACAACTTTGGTCACCATGCCTTAGGCTGGGGTTTGGTATCTTCAGCGATTTCATCCTGTCCCTGCTGCTGTAACCGCCACATGTCCGCATACATCCCGCCTCGGGACAACAGGGCCTCGTGCCTGGAGCAAGGAGGAAAGTGTAAGTCCCAGCTATCAGTTTCACCACAAGAGTCCTCGCCACCAGCCCGCAGAGATAACGGATTTGGAGCGCGAGAGCTCCTCTCTGAGGCCCAGCCTGTTCATCCTGCCGTGCCCCTTACCGTCCTCTCTCCACAATGCAGCCATCCTTGATGACGAGGATCTGGTCAGCATTGACCACAGTTGAGAGCCTGAGGAGTCAAGAGACCAGTTACCCACCGCACCCCCAAAAGTGGCCCCGCTGCCTGCTGCCCCGGTCCTGTACCTGTGTGCCACTACAATGGTGGTGCGGTTGGCGCAGACTTTGGCCAGAGAAGACTGGATGGCCCTTTCATTAGATGTATCCAACGCTGATGTTGCCTACAGAGAGGGTCTGGGTAAAACTGCCCTTGCCACCCAAATTCCCAGCAAGCTGCTGGCCAAGGTCTCAGGTATCAAAAAGTATCTTGTTTGCACTTGAGAACTGTAAGGTGTTTTGTGAAGCATGAATTCCTGGAAAACAGTGCCCCGCAGGAATGGCATGGGCACAGGCAGGGCGGGGGGGGGGGGGGGGGTGGTGGTGAAGGCTGCCCAGGGCCCTCACCTCATCCAGCAGAATGATGTTGGGGGCCTTGAGAATGGTGCGGGCGATGGCGACACGCTGCTTCTCCCCACCGCTGAGCTTCAGTCCCCGCTCGCCCACCTGCGTCTCATACCCTGTGGATATTGCCCACCTCCCTCAGGTCACACATGATAAACTTGGTTTCTGTGTTTAGATGAGGCAAGGAAGGGATGGAACAGAGGACAGAGGGAGTAACAGCCCAGGGCAACACAGGGCCAGGGAAGCTCACCCTCGGGGAAAGCCACAATGGCATCATGGATGCCTGCAGCCTTGGCAGCAGCCTGCACCTCATCATTCCCAGCTGTGATGCGGCCATAGCGAATATTGTTGGCAATGGTGTCATTGAAGAGGACGGTGTCCTGGGGCACAACTCCAATGTGAGACCGGAGGGAGATCTGGGTCACCTGGGGCCAAGAGATCATATTCCTGGCCTGTGAGATCCCCCCAGGCCTAGGAAGAAGGATGGGCTGGCAGAAAGCACATGGGATGAGAGGCCCTGGGTAAAATTCCTGCTACCACCACCCCAAGCCCTAGCTGTGTGGACGAGTCACTCAACCTCTCTGAGTCTGTTTCCCCATCGCTAAAGAGAAAAGTCCCATTCTCTCCCTGCTTCCCTAGACTGCTGCTGATCTTTGTACCGTGTACAGCACCATACATGACTCTAGTGTAAGTAAGATGGTGCTAGAAAGGCTAAGGTCTCCTGCCCCAGCTTTTTGAAGAGGTGAGGTCTCCTCTCGCTGGATGCTCAGCAGTTACCATTCTTTTACACACAATGACAGTTTCCTCCCAAACAACCTCACCTGGGAAATGTCCTGACCATCTATTCGGATGCAGCCAGAGCTGATGTCATAGAAGCGAAAGAGCAGACGCAAAATTGTGCTCTTCCCTGCTCCAGATGGGCCCACCTGTTGTAAGGGAAACTCCTTCTTAGGCCTGTTGGCTTTTAAGGCTTTTTCTCCAAGAGGGTACCAATGTCCATGGAGGCTGCTAAATTCACATGTGACCACACATGACAGGGCTCTCTAACTCCCAGCCTGGGTGACAAGCTACCATGGGCACTGGAATAAGGGAAGATGGAGAAGGCTGGGCCAAGTGGCTGGGTTTCCTCTTACCAGGGCCAGGGTCTGCCCAGGCATCACAGTGAAGGACACATCCTGCAGGGTCTCCCGCCTGCAAGAAGAGCGGGTATGGTCAGCAGGCCTGCTGCACTCCCAGTGCCCCCTTCCATCACCAGAGCTACTACTCGGCCCTGACCCTCCCCTGTGTGGGCTCTCTTCCCAAGAAGCAGGGATGGCTAAGAAGCAGGGATGAGGGACAGGAAGGCAGTAAGTAGACAGTGGGAAAGGGTCCAGGGACGGCAAAAGGGGAGGGGCTCACCCATCAGCGTAGCTGAAGTGCACATTCTCAAACTCAATCTGGCCCCTCTGGAAGCGAAGGGGCCCTGCTCCAGCAAGGTCCTTCACCTGGGAGAGTGTCACCAAGGCGTGGCGCTGTTACAGGTCTGGTATTCTCCAGACACCAGAAATACCACGCGGCTCTCACTCCCCCAAGCCCCACTCCTCTCTCTTCACTCACTTCTGTCTCCTCCTTCAGCAGGTCAAACATGTTCTCCATGTCAATGAAGTTGGTCTGGATCATCCTGCAAGCAGGTAATGGTTGGAGCTCCTCTGAGGAGCTGGGGAAACAATGCACTGCCCAGGTGAGGGCCAGGGATCAGGTTACCTGTAGTAGGTGCCAAACCAGTTGAGGGGCATGTACAGCTGGATGATGTAGGTGCCAAAAAGCACAAAGTCCCCGACCTGTGGAGATCCAGGGAAGAGGATCATCCACCAGAGGCCTTCAGGTTATCACCCTGCCCACTTCCTGTCATCTCTCTGCTTCCCACCCAGGAGCCTGGTGGCCAGACATAGACCCCAGGCCCCCTCTTTCCTGTCCCTAGCACAATTCCCTCACCTGTAGCTTCTGCTCACTGACAAAGTACGCGCAAAGCAGCGAGCCAGCAAGCAGCCCAAGTCCAATCACCAGGTTCTGAGTCTGATTTAGTAAAACCAGTGACGCGCTTGACTTCCACTCCAAACCCTGTGGAAATAACATGGGAGAGAGGAATGTCACATATGTGCTGACCATCACCAAATCCAAACCTGGGCCCAGGCACCTTCAACCTCACAGCCCAAATTTTATTCTTTTTGGCTCTGGTAATGCCACAAGGCCAGGCCATTGCTGTCAGTAGGCCTCAAACTAGCGTGCTCACCTGATATTTAATGATGGCTTCTCGATAACGTTCCACTTCATAACCTTCTGCATTGTAATACTTCACCTGATGAATTCAAAGCACCATTTGACATGGCTGCAGCATTCAGCACCTGGATCACTGCTTCCAGATCCCCAATCCCTCCTTCCTAATTTTAAATAGCACATCTTGCACCCCCCAGCTCCTCAGCAGCCTCGGTGGTCCCAGGCACAAACCTCCATATTTCCATGCTTCACACCACTGCCACCAAGGCCTCTGTTACCGTTTCAAAGTTTAGCAAAGAGTCCACGGCTCGTGCCCGGGTAGCATTTTCCTGTGTGTTCATATCACGTCGAAACTTTGTTCTCCACTCAGTGACCACAATGGTTAGGGCTATAGCATGAAAGGAGGAGGGAAAAGGAGAAGAGATCAAGACAACATTTTCAACAGCAGAAACCACATGTGTATGTCTGATGCCTACTACACACTAACCCTATGTCACAGCCCAGGGACCCAGGTTCTGAAGAGAGAACATCCTAAGCTCCCTGAGGGAAGAGGCTGTGTCCAAGATATCTTTGCAGCCTGTACAAAGCCTCATCTGTGAAGATGCTTTTGATGAGCAAATCAAGGCAAGCTGCATCTGTGACATAGTGAGCTTTCTCCTTGACTCGTATCCACACGGGACCTAATGTGACCACGATGCCCTGGCCCTCCACACAGGTTAAGCTAACATTTCCATGGCAGAGGAGTATGCCCATCCACCATTATTGGGGAGCTGAGGAGACTATTCAAGTCCACTAATCTATAGTCTTCCAAACTGGGTCACCCAAGTGGGGTCAGAGCTCATGCTCAAGGGAGTCCTTGGAGAGTTCAGGGAGCTGGTTTCACCAAGCAGCACGCACTGAGGTAAAGACTCATGCACAGGAACACGATGAGGCCAAACCAGGCGTTGAAGAACATGCTGAAGTAGATGATGCCAATGATGATGTCAGCCAGTGTGGGGAGAACGTTGAATATCAGGTAGCTGGGAGGGGAAGTCAAGTGACAAAGAAAAGTATATGGGCTCAGAGCCAGCAACTCTACCTCTAGCAGTTTCAGTGTGGTTTTCTGTTTTCAACAGCAACAGACTGCAATCAAGCTAAATGCCCCTCAGGAGGTGGATGGCTAAAGTAAACACAGCATGCCCAAACTACAGAATGCTCTGGGTCTATCATAATGAAAGAGGGAGATCTTCATGCTCCAATGAGAATACATCTCCGAAACATTTTGTTAATCAAATGTGAGGCCCTAGTGGTCTGGCTCAGTGGATAGAGTGTCACCTGAGGACTGAAGGGTCCTGGGTTCGATTCCAGTCAAGGACACATGCCCAAGTTGTGGGCTTAATCCCAAGTAGGGGGCGTGCAGGAGGCAGCCAATCAATGATTCTCTCTCATTGATGTTTCCATCTCTCTCTCCCTCTCCCTTCCTCTCTGAAGTCAATAAAAAATACATTTAAAAAGTAAAAAAAAAAATGCAACTCTGAGGATGACCCCTATATTGTGCCTGTTTTAGGAAAAACCTTCACAATACCACTTTAGTTCTGGGAGTCTGCACATATACATGTAAAAATGCCAAGAAGCAGAACTCAGCATACTAAATGCAGTGGAAACCTCTGAAGAAGTGAGTAGAATTCAAAAGAGATATGCTCACAATCTACTTTAAGTTATTACAGAGCATATGTACATTAACCTTATTAGAAAAAGGAAGAGGGCGAAGGGGCAGCTCCCCAAGCTGGGTCAGTTCTCAGGCCCCCCTGCTTTTCCTGTCCCACCCCCTCACACTCCTTTCCATGGGCTTGGTACCTGAGCAGCCCAGTGACACTGGCTGTGCCCCGGTCAACGACTCGCAGCACCTCCCCTGTTCGGCGCCCCAGGTGCCAGCGCAGTGAGAGCTCATGCAGGTGGGAGAAGAGGCGCAGCTCCATCCCCCGAGATGTGAACTGCTGCACCCTGATCCACAGGAATGTGCGAAGGTTGCTCACAAAGCCTGAGGAGGATTCAGTAGGGCTAAGGGGACAATTGACATCAGCCCAGCACCCAGATGTGAAAGGTCAGAAAGCACCAAAGAGTCCAGGGGAGGAATGCCTGTGGGAGGGAACTATGGGGAGGAGAGGGAGGGGCCAGTACCAACCAGGGTGATAGTCCCCCATACCTGTACTGCCAGTGCCACCGCCCTGGAGGAACTTGAGGAAGACATAGGTGGTAACAGTCCAGGCCAGGGAGTGCCAAGGTGCCTTCTCAGTCAGTAAGTTTACTATGGAGAACATGAGTCTGAGCCCACTTATGGCCCCCTAGTCCCCTCTTCAGAAGAGACTGCCCCAGGCACCAGCCATAGCTTTTTTCTGACCACCCAGCTCTCAACTCTGTCGCAGTGCCCTGGGTTGACCGCCCCCCACCCCTAACCAGTCCAATGAAGGACCAGAGTGCTAAGCTGGCACCCCTCTCCCTCACCTATATCCCTATAGAAGATGGGCACCAACACATTCAGTCCCCGGTCCAACCCCATGAGCCCCAGGCAGATGACCACAACAAGTTGCAGAGCTGGATTTCCCCGAGGCCACAGGTAGCCACTCAGTAGCCGGAGCTTCCTGCCAAAGTCTCGCCAGGTAGATGCTGGTGGCCCCTCTGTTGACTGAACCTAGGACGGTGAAACACATAGAGGGAAGCTTAGAAATCATAAAGAAGTGCACTAGCCAGAAACCTTCTAGGAAAAATGTAAGGGAGTGCAGACCCCAGGCATTTTAGACCCACAAGTAAGCCCTGATGGGATCAGAAAGGCTAACAGGGCACAATATGAGGTTTGGGTAAGAAACAGTTTATTATGGTAGGAAAAAATGATGCCAGGAAATGAAGTTAAGACAGACCCTAAGGTTCAGAAGTTGAGGTGTACCTGGCTCCTTTCAACATCCTGATCGTCTTCATTGACCCGAAATGCGTAGGACTGGGGACGAAGTCCGGGAGCCCAGAGCCCCAGGACAAAAAGCCCTCCAGAGACCACATAGCGCAGCACCCACAGGCTAAACTGTACCTAGAATGAAACATGTGAGGAGAGTATCAAACAGGGCCAAATCCCACTGTTACTACTAATAACAGGGTTGGGGATTGAACCATGGGCACGCACCCCGATTCCTCCTCGGGGCCCAGCATCTAATGGGCTGGGAAGAAAAATCCACAATGACTCAGCACGGACACGCCCTACCAGCTGGCTATCAGCTCCCAGCCAGCGTCAGCCCCTCCCTCTTCCCTTAAGAGTCACCCCAAAGCGTGGAGCCAGTATGACCAGACTTGACATCCTTCTTCCCAACCCCTGCCACCCATGCTTCCACTCTCCCATGAGGCCCCTCACCTGCTGGCCCAAGTCCGCCCTTGCCCACCACCACTGTGGGCTGTTCCAAGACACCAGAGCCAAGTTCTCGGCTGCAAAAGCCACAGTCCAGAGGAGCAGGAGACCGGGGCTGTGGCTGAATTTGATCCAGGCGCCCATTGCTAGCTTCTGCCGCGCCTGGCTCCGTTCCAAAACGAGCAGTCCCAAGCCACAGGCGCCGGCCAGGGTGCCCAGTATGGAAGCCAGCAGCAGGTAACCTGGCAGTGGGGCCCCCCGCGCAGTGCCCACTCGACCAACCAGGCTGGCCAGGGGCAAGGCCACCTGAAGTGTGGCCAGAAGCAGCTGCAGCACGTAGGGAGCGACACGAGGACCGGCCCCCCAAGACAGCGCGTCGGCGACTGCTGGCCGCTCCCGCCGCTTGCAGGGAAGGGCCAGCACCAAGGCCAGAGTCCCCAGGGCCGTCAGCACCGAGGGCGTGAGGGTGAAGAAGAAGCAGGGGCTCAGGCCACCCTGCGCCCAGGCCGGACCCGCGGGCCCTTCGGCCTCACAGTAGTTGCCCACAGTCACCATGGCAATGCGGGGCCGCAGGCCGAGGCTGCGGGGGCTGCGGGACAGGCGAACGGGGCCAGCCGCTTGGGGAGGGGCACGGATGCCGGGCGACCTCGGGTCATGGAGCCGCGGGGGTCGCTGTCAGGGATGCACGTGGACCCAGTCCCAGCCACACCGCCCACTCGCTCCGCGCTTGCGCCGCCGCCACGCACTCGGCGCACTCACGCAGGGCACGTCCGCCGCCTCTGCCGGCCGCCCCTCGCTCGCTGGGACGCCGGGCTGAGTCCGCTCCACACGGATGTGGGGCCGGACTCGAGCCGCATTCTTCCGCAGCAGCTCCGCCCACCGTAACCGCCCAGTCCCTTCCCAGCCATTGGCGATGTGTCACCGAAGGGGCGGGGGAAGGGGCGCTGGGGAAGGCGAAACAAACCAGCGGAGTCAGCTCGGTCACGTGCTCAGAGCGGGAAATCTGACCGCCCATCCGGCTGGAGACCTTGACCTCCAAGGAGCCTTGGCTCGGAAACGGCCCTTTTGCTAAGCCAGCTGGCTCGGTATGTCCTTGACACCGCACAGGCCCACTTTCCTACGGGGCCTGTCCCGGTCCCCAGCCACCTGTAGGGACCCCATGTACCCCACTCCGCGTGTTCCCCGAACCCTAGCGGTGGAGACAACATGGCCGCGACCTGGTCAAAGTCCCTTCTTTATTAAGGGTAATCAAGCTGTACACAGTCACCACCGCGTCCCGCGGCGAGTTCAGGCAGCGCAACTCACCACTCCCCGCAGCGGACCAGAGCCGAGGGTGGGGCTGAGGGTAAGAGCTGGGTCCCAGCATGCAATGCGGCAGCCCAAAGCCGAGGGCGAAGCCATCCTGCCGCCCCTCTGTCCCCCTCTAGGGGACAACAGGAGGCAGGTCAGAGCTCTCTTGCTGGGAGGTAGACGGACCAGAGCATACTCCAACCCCGTCCCTTGTGCAGGAGGTGGGAGGGATGGGGGTACAATAAGCAGTAATGGGGGCCAGGAAGGCCTCAGTCTCCCAGGAGCCATCTGAAAAATTGGACAGGGCAGCAAAAAATTTCCATCCTGCTCCTGTAATTTAGAAACCATCCTTAGTGTCAAAAGATAGCGTGAGAGGAGCTGGGAGCTAGGGCCTCTATGCCAATGCAAATCAAAAGTTGAACAGAAGGGCAACAAGCGAACAGAACCAGAGCAAGCAGCTCACATGCCAGTGATGTGCAGGAAGGGAGAGGTGAGCAGGCTGTAGCACTGGGAGAACTGGGGGTGAGGTAAGGGCCACAGCCTGAGCTGCTCATCTATTCAGGGTGAGGAGAGGGAGGCCACAGAGGTTGAGGGTCCAGGCCCAACCTCCCCACTCCACAGTTGGCACAGGTTCTCCCTGGTTGGCAGCTTCTGTGGTGGGCAGTCCTCTGGAAACTCGTAGGGGTAGGTGCAAAGGTGGCAGTATTGGGGCTGGGCTGGGGACCAGTTGCTAGCACCACACTCCGAGCCAAGTGGGTTCCTGGGGATGAGGCTAGAGTCCTGTGTGCCCTGGTCCTAGGCCCCCAATTTCTCTCGTGGGGCTGTGGTGAGCCTAGTATTGGCACCTCTCTTGGCCAGGCACGGACACACAAACACCATACGCGTGGAGCCAGGCAACACTCAGAGAAGCCCTCCATGGCAGGTGGATGGGATGGCAGGGCAACAGATGCCTGCATCCTGGGGCATAGGGACCCTCCTCAGCCTTGTCTAGACCTGTGGAGAGAAGAGGGTTGGTAGTAGAGATAGTCTTCAGCTATCTGCTGCTTACCTAAAAGAAGCCTGGAGATAAAAGAAAAGGAAAGCTTGATTCTTGGGGAGGTAAGCAAAGGAAAAATCAAGGCCTGTATTTCAGAGCAGGCGAGGAAAGAAAGGGGAGTGTATTTTGGGTGAAAGGGTGCAGAATCTCTGCTTGAGAGGCCCAACTTCCTTCACGTGAGCTTTGACCTCAGCCTGGAAGTTGCTATTTCTGGCGGTTAACAGGTCCTGGAGCCCTTACCTTGTGCACCTGAGGGGGGAGCTCATCCTCAGAGCCCTCCTCGGGCACGGGCTCTGGGTGCCTTGATGCTGACTGTCCATCTTCAGCCCACCCGCCAAGGGGCAGCCGAGAGAAGTGAGAGGGAGCCCGGGGCACTGTGCCAGGATCTAGAGACACAAGTAAACATACTCTTAGAACGAATACAAACAGGAATGAGGGGAAGGGTTGCCCTGTGTGGGGACAGAGAGGGGTTATTCTCCTTGGCCTGGTCCCTCTCACTTCTTTCTTCACCAAGAGGGATGCGAAGAAAGGCTGTGTCCTCCTGAACGCCCACTGGATACCTGTGATGCCACCGTAGCGCCTCTGGAAGCCCCCTTGCAGGGCAGTGGTCTCCGGTGCTCCAGGCCGGGGTACAGCTGCACAGGGATAGCTGGCAGAGCGGGGGATAGATTGGAGGTGCCGGGCACCTTCTCCCCCCTCTTCAGGAGCACTCTCCCCACTGTCATCACTCTCCCGGCGGTGCCACACATGCCTCTCAGGTTCAGCCTGGGCTTGCTGCTTGTGGAGCTGAGAAGTGGGAGGCTCATTAGTTGGGAACAGAAGGGTATCTGTCTGAAACAGCTGCTCCCCACCATGGTATCAGCCAGTTCCCATTTATACCATCTCACCTAGAATCACTGACCAGAGTATCTATTGTGTTAATAGTGTGTAACATACATACAATATTTTACAGGTTAAATTCTTAGCAGACCCCTGGAATGAGCCTGTGCAAAGGTTATAATAGCACCCATTGTATCTAGTCACTTGATTTAAGAACAAACTATGGATCTAAGTGCCACGCACTCTTTTAGGTGCTGGGGATATAGCAGTGAAAAACAGATCAAAATCCAAGCCCTTTTCGGGCTTATATACTTAGGAGGGAGGAAGGGGGGAGAATAGACAATAAATAAATAAATAAATAAATAAATAAATAAGGAAATAATACAATATGTCAGATGGTGCTAAATGCTATGGAGAAAAATGGAGTGGGAAGATTCAGAAGGGCGGGCAAGGGAAGTTTTTACTCAGTGTGGCCAGAGACTGTCACATGGAAAAGCTAAGAGCAGAGATCTGATAAGGAGGAGGGAGCCATATCAATATCTCAGGGAAGGGGGTTCTTGGCAGGGGAAACCACAGTGGGTAAAGGCCCTGGATGAGAATAAGCTTGGCTAAATGGATAGTAAGAGGGTATATGTTGGAATGGAAATTGCAGAGCAGGTAAATGGCAGAGTAGAGATTTGAACCTACGTCTTGCTTCTCCACCTCTAAAACCCTCTATTCTGTTTTTCAACTGCTACCTTGGGTCCATGGCCTTGCTCCTTGCGGCCCACTCACCTGGTGCATATAGAGGGCGTGCAGGCTCATCTCAGTGGATGCATATTCTGACAGCACCAGGCTCTGCAGCTGTCCTTCCCACACACTGCTCCCAGAGCTGGCTGTCCTGGCATCCATCCTGTCCCGCCCAGCACAGAGACAGCAATTATTAACATTTCTGAGACCAATATAAAATGCTAGGTGCTACTGCCATGCCCTCCCATCTTGGCCCACCTCTACTCACCCAGAGCCTGTCATGGTACTGGGAGCCCGGCCCGTGGAAACCTGACCAGGTTGCAGAGGGGAGAAGGAGCACAGGGCAGAGGCGACTTCAGTCCTATGCCTGGAACCCTGCAGGTCTCTGGGCAGTGAAGGACCACGGCAAGATGAGCCGGCCACTACATTTGCAATAAGACTCAGTGGCTATGAAAGAAAGGGGTGAGAATTCTCAGGGCAGGAGGGAAGCCTCTGGGGCCCCCAATATTTTTTATATCAGGAACCAATGACACAGACTAAACAGAGAGAAGGAAAACTATAGGGTAGGCCAGTGGTCGGCAAACCGTGGCTCGTGAGCCACATGCAGCTCTTTGGCCCCGTGGCATGGGCCATGAAGTTTCAATCGCACTATACGTGCGCGCCCACACGCGGTATTTTGTGGAAGAGCCACACTCAAGGGGCCAGTTTGCCAACCACTGGGGTAGGCCCTTCCACCCCATGCCCAGTTCTCAACTCCAGCTCCTGGAGTCCACTCTGCCCATCATCTCCCAGCCCCCAGGAACACACCTCAGACTCAGATTGTAAGGACTGGATGGACGTAAAGAGGGCATTTTCAGGGAGTAGACCCCCTTGGGCAAGGCCAGCAGCTGCTCCATCCCGCTGAACCTGTTCCTTGAGGAAACCCAGGAAGGCCGTGCTCTCACGTGGTGGCTGCCAGCCAGGGTTGGTGATGGCAAAGTGCATAAGTGACAACTCTGTTTTCCCGTCCTCGGCTTGCTGGTACACTGAGGCCTCGGTCTGGCCAGCAGATAGCCACTGCACAAGAAAGGCCACAGTGAGAGGAGAGTTCTCTTACAGGAACCCTTTTTGTACCTTTCCTGCTAGGGAGAGGTTTACCCCTGGAGGACAGAGACCGCAATACACTGCTGTATCTTGTCCAGGGCCCTGGTGCCCACCCCAGGAGTGGCCACACACTGAGCTAATTGCTTGGTTTGTGCCTTTCTCAGGGAGCTTCTTGGCCAAGGGTGCCAGTTTAGGGCTAAAATCTAGCCCAGGCTCCTGTTTATCAAGCAGTGTGTGCCTGGAGACAGGGCTGCTGTTTTGTGAGGTGTTGGCTCAGGAGAGATACCTTTTTGGAGTTTGCCAGCACTGTCTCTAGCCACCTGCCCCCTCCTCTCCGAGTACCTGGGGATGCCCATGCTGGCGAACATCCATCTGGGCAAAGGAGCAGGTATCTCCAACACCAACGACCTCCACAGTGAAATTGCGGAAGAAGTCTATAATTTCCAGGGCCCGTGGACGCAGGCAGAAGATGAGGATGAGGGGTGTGACAATGGGGCTCAGTAACTCCTCCAAGATGAATACCTACAAGGGAAGGGACCAAGGCCATGAGAGCAGGAGAGATCCCAGGCCTCACCACCAAGCTATCGGCCAGTTTCTAGCAGGCCCTAACTCCAACTCCACTCACTGCCTTGTACTGGAAGAGCTGGGCAAACTCGTCCCGGGTCTGCGAGCGGTGGGCATTACCCTGCCAGTGGTCGGGCATGTAGTGGATGTGAGCGAGGATCACGCGGAGCAGCTGCTCAGGGCAGAACACCAGGTGCTGGTCTGGGATAAAGGACCTGCAGGACCAGGGTCACAGTGAGACATCAGCCTTGCCAGGGAATGCTAGTCAGCTCGCTCCCACCTGCTACCCGACCCACCTGCACACGGTCACAGTGACCCCCAGGAGTGTGACGGTGGTGAGAACGTGTTCCACAGCTAACACATCTTCGTCGTAGATGGTGAGGGCAATAAGCACGGCCAGAATGGAGCCAGCAAAGAAGGCGCAATTCTTGGCCAGCAGTGTCAGCAGAGGTGACAAGAAGCAATTCATGTACTTGGAGGCTGGCTTGTAGCCACGGTTCAGACGGGACTGCAACTCATGCTCCAGCTCGTTGAAGTGGCGGAGGTAGCAGCGGCCATAGAGTGACCAGCAACGTGCTCCCAGGGCCCCAGGCTCCCGCTTCAGCACCTCAGCATAGCTGAAGAAGGCATAGAGGATCTGCCAGATGAGGATGAGGGGGCACAGCAGGAAGTTGGCGATGCCAATCCACAGGATGCGGTTGCTGAGGCGCTGGGCCAACTCTAGCCGTTGCCCCCCACGTTTGTACTCAGCCTTGAGGCTCCACTCATTGAGAAACAGAGAGCCAGGTCCCCAGAAGAGGATCAGCTCGAAGTTGTACTTGAGGCCACGGGTGAAGAAGACAACCTCCCCAAGGCCAGGCAGGCGGAAACGCAGGGGCAGGAGGGATTTGTTAACCAGTGCCACCATGTAGTTCTGGAAACGGAGGATGCGGTGGTATATGTCCAGCTCTGTCAGCTCACGCTTGTGGATACAGATCTGGTGCTCTTTCTGGGTCTGCACAATCCGAGCCTGCACTTCCTGCCACGTGCAGTATGGAAGGGCAGACTGTGGGGTGGGGAAGAGACAAGGTGTGGAAGGTGGGATGGTTGCCTTGACCCATTGCCCTGCATTACCTGAGAGGCCCAGGGTCCTGTGCTTAGTTGAGTGGAGCTCTTAAGCAGATGCTCCCTCACCTGCCAATGACAGCCAAGGAGGCCTGATGCCCAGGAATACACCCCACCCTTACCAAGGTGAAGAAGGCATCTTGGGCTGTGGCGCTAACTGCCCAACTTCCCAGTCTCACCATGGGGATGCGCAGAGCATGCAGGTAGAAGGAGTGGATCTCCCAGTAGCAGCAAATGTTATAGATGAACTTGATAAGCCGGTGGACCCAGAAGACACCAGCGATGACCAGAATGGTGATGAGAGAGCCATTTTCCTGAATCCTGGTGGGGTAAAAAATGGCGAGAAGGGGTGCCTTTAAGGAGTCTTGGCAGATAAGCTGCTCTCCTGGAGGATTTGGCAAGGCTGGGCCTGAGTCTCTGTTCTAGGGAATGTGTTATTGCCTCACATTCCATTCCATTCCCCACCTTCGATCACAACTACAGGCTCTGATGCCCTCTGACCTGCAGCCCTTACCTGGCACTACAGACTTGGGCAGGCAAAAAGGCATCTGGCAGAGTGACCTTGACGGGCTCGGTGGGGTGAAGACTGTGGTTCACCATCTTGTTGGCAAATAAGATGTCATAGTCCACACAGCTGACCAGAAAAGTGGTGAAGGCAACCACAAAGAGGAACTGCCTGGAGAGTTGGGAAGAGGGGGCGCAGCCCAAGGGTCAGAGAGGCACCAGTGAAATAGTGTGGAAAAGAGAGGAGTCTGGAAGCAGCGGGACAAGATTAGGGAGCAGCCTCTGGGAAATGGAGGGGCTGGGGAGCTCCTCGTGGGCTCTCTCTACTGCTCAGCCCTACAAACAAGCTCCTATTTTTTGCATTTAGCTTCAGGCCCTACAGAATCAGTGTGCTTCTGTCTTTCGCCTCACAGTAATCTCTGCCACTGCTTACTGGACTCTTTCAAAAGTCTTGATTGTTGTCACTGGTTCCTGGTCCCTGACTTCCTTTTGATATAGTCGTTAGAAGCCCTTTGGGGATTTGAACTCTTTTCTTACTGAGGGACGGTTTCCCAACCCCTTCCTCTTTGGCAAGGTCATATGGCTCCTTCCTCTTAGAAGGCTCTCTGCCCAGCAGCAGGTCTAAGGCGCAACCACGGCAGAACAGAGACACTTTTCTCAAGTGGCTGGCATCTCTGACTGAAGCATGCCCATTCCACTGGAGCTCTGATGAAATGATCAAGTCTGAATTCTCTTCATGGGAGAGACAGAACTTGGAAAGCTTATATGGGAGATAAAAATGGTGAAGGCTGTAAATTTTGGTGCCATATCCAGTCCCTGAAATACAAAGGTTTGCAGAATTTTGAGCCTGGGACTGAGATGCATTGGCAGGTAGGGCCAGGGGTGAGCTCAAGAAGAGTAAAGACTGCGATGTATTCCTTTACCAAATGATCCATCCCTTTTTATACTTACATAAGCTCAAAGATCTCCCCGATGAGCATACAAGTGAAGCCATTCTTCTGGTGTAGATTATAAACGTGTAATTCTTAAGAAAAAGTGGTTTGTAGAGACAGCAATTAAGAGCACAGACTTTGGTGTCACATAACTGAGCTTAAGTCCTGGCTCAATGACTTTCTAGCCGTGTAATTTTGGCCAAGTACTTAACCTCTTTAAGCTTTTGTCTGCAGTGATATATTTGGAATAACAGCACCTATCTTAAAGGATTATTGGGTCTAAGACAATGCATGTAAAGTATTTAACACAGAGCTGACACAGAATGAGTCAAAAGACATTAATTATTATGGTTATTAGCATCCCATCAAAAAGGAGGAGCACTCTTAGAGAGGTCCCTTATAAATAAACACCACAAGTGAAAGGCACCGCCTGGCCAGTGTGGTTGAGGGTCTACCTAGGAACCAGCAGGTCACGGTTCGATTCCTGATCAGGGCACATGCCCGGGTTGTGGGCTTGATCCCCAGTGTGGGGCGTGCAGGAGGCAGTGATTCTCGCTTATCCTTGATCTTTCTGTCTCTCTCTCCTTCCACATTCCTCTCTGAAATCAATACAAATACTTAAAAAAACAACCCAACATATAAAAAAAGAAGTGAAAGGTACATAGCTCTTGGTAAATGTGGGATATCATTACTTAGAACAATCATTATTTCCCCCATCCTCTTTTAACCTCAATAGTTCCATCCCCCTTACAGGGATTATAGTCAAACCCAACCCAACTTCCCACCAGAGGCCTGGCTTAGAGAGGGGCTAAAGGTCCCACAGCTCCAACACAGAGACACAAAGGATATTCGAGAGAAAAAGAGGTCGAGGTTTTCGATGTGGTGCCAAGGTGCTGTGGGCACAGGAGTAGAGATGTCAGAGCCCCTTGCTCCCCACTCCACCAACTCTCCCCCATGCCCCAGCTCTGGCTGTCATGGCCAAGAACTTACACTTGCTCCCCTCAGGGACGTGCACCAACAGGTCCTCCTCTCCTGGGGGTGAATCGCTGTAGGAGGCCTCTAGGCGCTGGTATTCAGTGTCAAACTGCGCCATCACCACCGCCCCCTGTCCACCTTATCCACCTGCCAGAAATGAGGAAAAAGAGACCGAGGGTCAGCCCCCCCATACTGCTGGTCTGCTGTCCTGCCTACTAGACCAAGAGTGAGAAAGAATTCTTGGTTTCCACTACCGTCTTCTTGACTCAAAGACAGAGGAGGAGTAAGTTCAGGGCTTGGGAGACCTTAACTGGCCAATGAGGTCAGTCATTCCCAGAGCCTTTACTGAATATATGCTGAGGCTTGCTGGCCTGAAGCCAGACTCCGCCCCTTTGGGGGATCTGTTTCATTTTCTATTAGTAGAGAGAAGGGGCCCTTTCCCTGCCCTTCTGGAGCAGCCTGGTCTCCTAAGAGACTAGCAGTTTGGAAGCATTTTGTAAACAAAGGTCTGAAATAAGCACATGGCCTTACCTGCTCCATGGACAGTGTCTGCTTCACTCCAGCTCTGATGTCCTGGCTCTGCAGCTGCTGGAGGAGAAGATGTCAGGCCCCAGAGAGTAGAGTGGGGACAGGAAAAAAAAACAACCTTTGCAGGCATGCCCCCCACCCCACCAAGAGGGGCCAAGCCTGGGACAGCCTAGGGTCATGCGCTTTCCGCTGGCAGCACTATAAAGGACCACTCATTCAGCTCAAGCAGTGGCTTATTGAAGCTGTGGAGACCCAGTCAGTGCAGGCCTGAGATCTCTCCATTGCTCCACCTCAGCCTCAGAAATTAGGCCAACAGGGTCCACAAAGCCGCAAACCCAAGGAGACCTTTCTGGCCAGCCTCTTCTCCTGCTCCCCTAGCACTGAAGGGCCAGCGGGCAAGCATAACTCCTGGATGGGAAGTCCTGACCGGGTCGGGGTAGATCCAGATCCTGGACCAACTGTGTGTTCTGGAGGTCCACGGAGCCAGGCATGGTCTAGGTGGCACTCACCCGGTCCTGGGGCCCTGGAGCACGGCCCGGCCGACCCCGGTGGGATTCCCTGGGTTAGTGAGAGCCCTGGGTCCAAAGGAGCTGGTCAAACCCTCGGGGAACTCGCCAGTCACCGGGCAATGTGGACCCAGGGCCCATGGAACCCCAGCCGGCCGGGCCTGGGCTCAGGGGTTCCTGCGGATGTTGGAGGTGAGAGCCCGTCCGACAGCGGATACCCCAGGTGGGCTGGGTGGCCTCCCCACACCCAGCTGCCACGACTGGAGCCCAGCGCGCCCCAGGGTCACGCCCGGGGCTCGGCTCCCTACAGCGGACAACCTTGCGCGCGGCCCCGCCGCTGGCGCGCGCCCGCCCGCATGCCCTGCTATCAAAACATTCCGGCCGCGCGCCTCCGCCCCGCCCGCGGCGCCCCTTCCCCCGTTACCCGCCGCGAGCTCACTCAGGTCTCCGCGGGCGCCCCCGGCCAGGTCCGGCCCGGGCCCTGACATACCAGTAACCGGTCTCGCGCTTCACCTCAGGAACCGTGACCCCGGTGATTCTGGGGATCCGACAGCTTCGTAGGACTCGACCCGACCCAGAGCGCTAGGCCCGGCGCCTGCCACTTACTGTCACCAGCAGCCAGCCTGGCCAATGAGCATGATGGGGCGGGGACACGACGGCCCATTTTTTTCCCCCCGCTTCGGGGGCGGGACTAAAGGCGGGTCTTGAGCGGCAGAAGACCAATGGGGCTTTGCGTGGGGCGGGGCTCAGGTGAGGGCGCTGCTGATTGTCCCGTTCGCGGCCCCGTAGTGACGAGATTGCTGTGGAGCTGCCGACATCCGGATTTGGAACTGCGGACATGCGTAACTCGCAGCAGTTTGGGATTTGCGGTGCAGCCTCGGAGGGCCGGGAGGAGTCCTCGCGGCTTAGTCACTGATGGAGCTCATCGCACGAGAAGCGAAGAGCGGTCGCTTTGGGAACCTCAGTGATTTTAACTCTGTTGGATTCGATTTTAAAGCCGGATGCTCTCCCATTTCACTCCTGTGTGGCCGGAGACTGGAGGTATGAGAAAGCGGGCTGGGGTCACGTATCAGCCCCAAAGCTGACTCCTGGAGCCTGCTTGCAGCGCGGTGGAGACCGAGTCTGGCAGGCAGGAGACACGGCGGTCGGATCTCGCTTGGGGAGGGCTCTGCTTTTCTCCCCTCTTTTCTGCGCAGCCATGTCGCCGGCTCCAGCAGCAGCCCAGGCTCCCACGCCGGTCTCCCTGTTTGATCTCAGCGTGGATGCTCCGGTCCTTCGGGGCCTGAGCCTAGTGAGACACCGTCCCGGGGAGACTCTGGCCCAGGCACTGCGGACTTCCTCTCCAGGTATCCGGGAAGATTTGGGGTGAACCCATGAGAAACATGACAGGGCGCTTTGCAGCTTATTGCTCCTCCAGAGAACACATTCCTATTGGCATTTCCCAGTTTAGGAGCCCTTGTTGACACCTGTTTCCACGGGATAAAATGTATCTTAAATTCACTAACCCAGACCCCTGAATTATCTCCAAATAAGTCTCTTGCCATTGCTTATGTTCTTGTCTCAGTAATGCCACTACCTACAAAAACACTTCAAAAACTCCTAGATCTTTTTTAAAATTCCTATAGTACAAATTTAACTGGATTCCAATCAATCATTCATTCATGCTGAATGTAAAACAATGTCATATTTGGTTATGTACAACTTTAGTTTGTCTCTGGCTATGTTTTTCTTGAACCTTTTTTAAACAAACTGCACACTGTAATTGGAAACGTAAACTAAAAAATTGGCATTCAGGAAGTGGTTTTTGAACAGTTAAAAATAATTTTAACCGTACCAATATATATTTTCTGCAAGATTCCTCTAAATCCCTTTGGTTAATTTAAATACAATGTTTGACTTATAATCATTTTACACGTATCTTTTCAGAAGCATCTTTATTGTATAAAGTGATTACTGTGCTATTTATTTCTTTTAATATATTTTTATTTATTTCAGAGAGGAAGGGAGAGAGAGAGAGAGAGAGAAACATCAATGATGAGAGAAAATCACTGATCGGCTGCCTCCTGCACACCCCACACTGGGGATTGAGTCCACAACCCAGGCATGTGCTCTGAAGGGGAATTGAACCGTGACCTCCTGGTTCATAGGTTGATGCTCAACCACTGAGCCACACCAGCTGGGCATGTGCTATTTATTTATTGATTACTAGACTATAAATTCCTTAAATGCCATCTCTTTCTTTTGTATCTTCCTCTGCTATATATATCAAACCCTGAATAAAATTCCAGGTACTATCCATTTGGACTCCCTTTCCACCTCTAATTACTCTCCCTTATTTAGGCTCAGGGGTGAGAACAAGCCCAGAAAGAAAACCATTCCAGGGTCCTCTGGATATTTCAGGGAAGTTATTTTGTTCAACCTGTGACCAGACCTTCCAGAACCATCAGGAACAGGTAAAACACCAGGTGCAAAACTAAATGGTGGAGGCAAAAGTAGAACAGTGGGTGAGGAGAGATAGACATTTGTGTTTAATGAATAAAGGTTCACATTTTGAATAAGGCAGTTGGTGTTACCCAGTCATACTGCTGGTCTTGGGTACCATAAAAGGCCAGGCTGGGGCATATTTCCACATTCTGCTTCCCTCATTGACTCCTACCAGAGGGAACATTATAAGCTTGACTGGCATCGGTTTAACCTAAAGCAGCGTCTCAAGGACAAGCCTCTCCTGTCTGCCCTGGACTTTGAAAAGCAGAGCTCCACAGGTGATGTCTGTTGGGAGACCTTAGTGGGGGCAGGACATGGGGGTGGAAGAGGGCCCTCATTTAGGAGCTTGAGTGAAGTTCAAAGATGAGGCATCAAACTTATATATCTCATGTTTCAGGAGATCTTTCCAGCATCTCAGGATCAGAAGACTCAGACTCAGCCCCTGAGGAGGACTTACAGATACTGGATGAAGAGAGGGTTGAGTTTGAGAAGTCTAACAGATCCCAAGGCTTCTGCTCCCATCGGGTTCTTTTCCAAAATGCCCATGGCCAATTTCTTTATGCCTATCGCTGTGTCCTAGGCCCTCACCAGGCAAGTGACAGCACAGGTTGTGTGGTTAACCCCAACCTTTTGTACATTCAGCATAGATTTCCACTTCGCTCAGTCCATTTCTCACTTCTCCCCTTCCTTCCTATTGCGTGTGGGTGTCAGGCTTGACAGCACAGTCTTGTTTTGAACTGGCCTGAATCTTGGGTCAAGTGTGATGGAATTAAGTTTAGAAACAGACCAATCTAGGTTTGGATTATAGTTCTACCACTTGATCTTGACTAACTCTACAAGCCTCACATTTCCTTGTCTATATAAAGTGGAGACATGCCTCAAGTGGTTGTATTAAATGATAATGCATGTGAAGCAGTTAGCACTGGCACTTGGTTCCTTACTCTCGATGAATGTAACCAGATATGTTTGTGCTGCTCCTGTCATCTAGGTGCTCCCAGAGGAGTCAGAACTGCTGCTACGAAACCTGCAGAGTGGAGGTCCTAGACACTGCGTGGTACTCATGGCTGCAGCTGGGCACTTTGCTGGTGCCATTTTCCAAGGGTGAGAGGGTGCTGTGAGGGGTTAAGGATGGAATGGATCCTTCCCAACTGGGAGTACCAGGTTTCCAGTACTGAGTCTGTATTGTCTACAGAAGAGAAGTGGTGACACACAAAACCTTTCACCGCTACACAGTACGGGCCAAGCGTGGTACGGCCCAGGGACTTCATGATGCCCGGGGTGGGGCTTCTCGCTCTGCTGGAGCCAACCTGAGGCGCTACAATGAAGCTGCACTATACAAGGTAAGTTAGGCATCTCAGATCTTGTGGTCCACTAATATACCTTTTCCCCTCAACTTATTAAATGTTACAGTAAAGAGGTTGACTCCTTTATCTTCCAGTCTTCATTATTTTTGGTTAAGGTAGAATAGGATGGATCCTCAGTAATCTTAGTCTTGTCCTTCCTCCCTCTGTTAATTTCTACCTCTCACTCCTACACATGGGGTCATTTTTTGGTTGGAGATTTAAACAAGTGAAGATATACAGGGCTGTGACTTTCTTCTCTAGGACGTTCGTGACCTGCTGGCAGAGCCAGGCTGGGCTAAGGCGTTGGGGGAGGCTGGGACAATACTGCTGCGTGCCCCCCGCTCTGGCCGCTCCTTGTTCTTCGGAGGCCAAGGGGCACCCCTGCAACGGGGGGATCCCCGACTTTGGGATATCCCCCTCGCTACCCGCAGACCCACCTTCAAAGAACTACAGCGTGTGCTCCATAAGCTGACCACTTTGCATATCCATGGTGAGCCTTTGACCCCAATTCCAACTCCATAGACCTGGTACCTTCTAAACCAAATCTCAGGTTCTCATTTGTTCATCCAGATGATTTTCTAGTCCTTGGACTGCAGCCCAATCCCATCTTCATTGAGAAAACCTGGCTGGGTTCTCCTCAGCTAAACTTGAGCAACATCTTTTGTTTTATGGCAGGAGAAGACCCCCGGGAGACAGTCAGGTTGGACTCACCTCACTCATACTGGAAGACAATGCGAGAGAAGAAGGCTATTGAGGAAGAAAGAAAGGTCCCCAGTGATGAAAATGGGGCAGTAAGGCAGAATGAGGACTCTCCCAAACAAGGTTTGAGTACCACCTGTCAACTGTCAAATCTCTATCTGGGTGTCTGTCCTGGTAATGCAGTAGCAAATCCCCTACTCTCGCTTTCCTATTTATAGATGAGCCTCATGCAACACACACAGGTCTTTTAATAATGAGATATGTGATAGCAATTACTGAGACATGTTTAGTGACCTTTCCAGATCTCCTATTACTGCTTCTGTTCATTAATATAGCCCCAGTACTCAGAAAAGTCTTAGCATGAAGTAGATGTTTAAATGTGTTGCATGAATCTCAGAATTTACCTGTCTTATTGGATGCTTCCTGGGCTGCAGACTCTTGGAAGACCGTACCCTTTTATGTAATGATGTTAACTTTGAATTTATATTAATTTATATTAGGTCACACAAACACTCCGTCCATGCTTTTGTTCCGGCCCTCTGGTCCAGTTTAAGAACCCATTGTGGCCCTCGAGTCAAAAAGTTTGCCCACCCCTGATCTAGGGACTGTACGTGTCTGGCCTGAGAGCCTCATTTCTGCATATCGTACTAATGGATTCAGCTCTCAATGTGTTACTTTATCTTGGATGACAATACAGATAATTTTATTTTAAGATAATCTGGATTATCTCTATATGTACATTCTTATGCATCTGGGGTAGCCCACATCTGTCCACCCTCCCTTTATTCTTTAGAGGGATCTAATATGTCGTGTTTTTCCCTAGCTTCAGAGTCAGAGGGAGAGGATGGCTTCCAGGTAGAGTTGGATCTAGTAGAGTCGACAATAGGGACCCTGGATCTTCGTGAATTTGAGGTATTGCCCAAGCGGAGGAGGAGAAAAAGGAATAAGAGGGAGAAAAGCCAAGACCTGGAGGCTGGGGCACATGTGACTCTTCCCCAGCAACCTCAAGAAGACAAGGCCTTCTCACATGCAGTCCCTTTGGAGCCTTTCATGGATGAGGCCAAGGTCCCTGGTCAGCCAGAGCTCTGGGACAAGCTTCTCGCTGCTTGCAAAGCTGG